ACTGAGAAAAAAAGCTTCGTGGGACGAATTGAGAAGTCAATTTGGGACGAACTGAGAGTAAACCGTTTAAAGCACTAAACCTCTCCATTTAAATTTACCATAACATATAGTACATAACTTTTTCTCTATAAAACTCTTGCCATCTTACAGACATAGTAGAAACAACACAGACCCCGTCGTTCAGTTAGTTATAGATATTCCTTTTTGCTGATCTCCTAATCTGTTAAAACTGCAATTTGAACATTTCTTCTGAGCGAAATTCAAGTTTTCAATAATTAAATAAGTGCTAACTAAATAAAATCATGAGAAGACGAATTTTAGAAGATGTAATGGGCAAGGATTTAATGCAGAATAGATTAATTAATGCGGCTGTTTTGAAACCTTTCATTTGGATACTTCGACCTGTTTATTCGGTCATTTTCAACATACTAACAACAAAAAACAGCAACATAACCTATACATGGCTCTTTGTTTTCTCTGACATGCATGGAAACATGTGATACATTCCACAGATCGAAAGAAGAAAAACACAGAAAAGCAAGACCCCTATTTTTATAATCTCAAACGTTTGAGATAAAAAACCTTGACAACATTATCTAAGCCCATTGTTGTTATTCTATTTGGCAGTGTCCGGTGGTATCATTCTTTTGTCACCCATTATCCTTGTTAATAATTCTCTTCTTATTCCGTTTGGAAAGATGTAAAGAGGTATCGATCTGTCTGTACCGTTCAGTACGGGTGTCTTTGCTCGTATCATCAGTGATTCTTTCACTAGAAGCCGGTACCGATGTTGCTCTGTTACAAGAATTTGAAAATCGTCACTCGTCATCGTGTGTCCTGTTGATGAGTAGTGTTTTGCGATGGCTGATTGAGCTGTACACGGTTTCAAACTATCAGTTGTTTTTGTCAGCGTCGCTAATGCTTCATCGAGATCTTGTTGAGGCACCTGTCTCGTGGACGGTGGAAGTTTACCTGTTCTTTTTTTTTCGAATTTTGAACATGAAAACGCTCAAAAACTCAAATAAAACACAACTTAATATATTTCAGCTTCGATCGTAGAGATTCAATCTTGTATAGGATAATTCGAGAAATCCTGCAGATTTCTACAAGAACTTTATAAGATTTCTATATAAGGAGATGATGAGATACGTATAAGAACTTAGCACAATCTTATAAACTTTCTGTAGTACACCGTAAGATCAGTTGACCTACGACTGAAAACCATGTAGGAGGAAAATAACAAGTCCTATTCACACCAGTAGTTCTCAGTGTTCTATATGTGCGGTTCGATTATCAGAAAAGTGTTCGAAACTTTTCGCAGTTGCGTAAAGTCGTAACATGTGCTTTGCTAAATGGCCTCGGTTTGCTCTTTAAAATAAAGTAAATACAACCCCTAACGTCCTCGGCTATGAAGAAAAACAAGTCAAAAGTATGGCAGATAAAACTGAGTACAAAAGTCTACAGGAAACCATCTTTCATATGACTTTCTCAAAAGAAAGTTTAGGCCTTTCTTAGTTATTGCACAATGTTTTACCCGGTTTTTCGTCAGGAACATGATGCAAAAAAGTGAATTGTTTGAGTCATACTGAGTACGTATCAGGAATAAAAGAATGTATCAGAACAACTAAATGAGAAGTTCATTAGAGCGATTTGGCGCCAAACTCATGTTTGTAGTTCGCGCCCAACTCTATTTCTGTCGCATTTGTCGGGATAATTATAAACAGGACTTCTTTTCAATAATAATGCAAGAAATTTCACGTTTTTCCATTATTTTTGAGTAGGTCATGGGAAGCTAAAATCACTTCGTTCTAAAATCACATTTTCACCATTGAGCATTTTGTAACTGGAGCCTCTACGTCAAAATAGCTTTAAACAGAGCTTTTAAAGTTAAAAATATGTTTTAGAATAAAAATCTAGTTATATTTCGGCTGAAAACGATATTTTCAAAACGATACTACAGATGACAGTAGTGTGCACTGCAGTTTATTATGTTTCTATCTGGTATATATAAATATACAGAAAATTTCTTTTCCATCTCGGCTTTAATACCCCCTCTCTGTGACTGCGTAATATCTGAACAATATTCTCTTTATCGACAAAATGAAACAGAACAACGTTTTCTTCGTTCTGTTTACTTTTCTTCTTTCGATAGAAACGAACGATCAGACACGTGCAGTTGTATTAAATATATTACATATTCACTGATCGACGTTCTTGTGGGTATTCTTGTAAGATTTTTGCCTCTTGTTTTTTCAGACAAGAATCTTGTAAAATATTTTATGTGTATTTTTATCACAGGAATCTTGCAGGAAATCGAGCTCTTGTGAATTCAGACAAGAATTCGTCTCGCCAATCTTGTATGAACTTACAAGAAAGCGATTTCCTGCAAGATTCTTGTGATAAAAATACACGTAAAATATTTTACAAGATTCTTGTCTGAAAAAACAAGAGGCAAGAATTTTACAAGAATATCCACAAGAACGTCGACCAGCGTTCAGATACGCAGTAATTTCTCTCGATGAAAATTCAAACATGCAACGATAAATCATGGACTGTTTCTGATTGGTCGAAAATCGTCCATGGTACTGTAAAATTATAAGTGATTTTAGAAAGTACTTTTAGCTTCCCATGACCCTTTGAGTAAAGCAAGTGCTCTACGTAGAATTTTAGGTATGGTAGCCATCTTGGATTTCTATTGGTTAGCGTACGAAACGAATAAAATAAAGGTACGTAGACACGAGCGCTCTATAAATAAATTAAAAGGATCGGAGCTGAGCATTTCAGTACAGTAAGAGAAAAATATTCTGAATCGAACTGTAGATTCAGATTTTCCACACCAGCTGGCTGGCTGGGGTCCCATATCCAATAAGCACAAAATTCTCTATCGACTGGTATAGCGGTTCAAACTTTCGAACAAATCCAAGAGATAAAAATTAAAAATTTTTTATTTAACTTTTTGCAGGCAGCTTAACAAACATATTTTACCTTTCTGCGAAACTTGATATTCCTAACCAATGCATGAAACTGCATCAAACGATTTCCTGAAATCACCGGAAAAAATTTTCTTAATATTGACAGTGAGGGATGTGTCTGAACCGTAAAGTTTTTTTCGAAAAGCTTTCGCTAAAGAATTCGATACACAATTTCTAATTATTTCGATGGAGTATACTGTAATAAATCAGCCTTCTTTTTATTTTTCTCCATTCTCGCTACCACGTTTCATGCTACCATATTTTTTTGCTTTTATTTAAAGTATCTTCTGAGCGAAATTCAAGTTTTCAATAATCAAATAAGTGCTAACTAAATAATAAATTTTTAGGAAAAAACTCAACAATATTTAAAATGTTTCTATTTCAAAATAAAATAAAAGCCAAATCAAGACCATATCTAAGAGTCTCAGTTGAGAGCACTTGCGAGCAAACAACACGCAGATCAAACAAAAAGGGTGCAAGCGTTTCGTTTTGATTTCAGAATAAGAATATATAATGACGAGCAGAATCAAAAATAAATCATCAACGATCGACTTAATCTGATGTAGTAGATAAAACGGACCGTGAGCGCAATTACAAAAGCTGATAGGCGTACATGACAGATTCAATAACGATTTGCATAAAAATCAAGAGAAAAATTCTGTCCTGAGCAATAGTTCGAATGTAGATCTTTCGAATGATGGGTCGCTTAGAAAAAACATTGAATCTCACGTGGCGTCGCCAGCAGATTTAGATATTTTCTCGAATGAATTTAGTAAATCAAAAGAATGCGTCACAAAGCGTGAACTACACTGTTTATTTTGAACTTGAAAGCTTGTATTTATACTTAATCTGTTCGAAACTTGAATTCATGTTTGGAAGAAGACAAAACACTGCTTTGCACTGTCAAAAAAACACGCCTGTTATTTTAAGTATACATAAAACCCCATAATACATAAAGCATCGGGAAGCTCCTAGAAAAATTGATTAAAATTATCGTCTTTAGATAAAAGCTAGTAGTTTACGATTAGATTCTAAAGGTATTAATAACTGGTCCCTTAACGCGATACTGATAGGGCATTATGCATAAAGAGTACAAGAGCACGTGAAGGATCGGCAGACCAAAAGGGCAAGGGGGGGTAAGAACAGGCACCTCTAGGTCTACTCGATTATGCGTAGGGATCGAGCTATACATCTCTAATGTTGGAATCACACCAGGAGGCATCTTATATAAATATCTGCAAAGTCACCTACCAACAAAGTCTCGAAGACATTGCCACTCGCCTGCAGCAAGCAGCCACTAAGGTAAGCCCACATTATAGGACAAACCACCAAGGCACGTCTTACCAGAGGCACAAGGCAATCAGTAGGCAGAGGTGTCACAACGAAGGCCACTTAGGGCTAATCGTTAAGTTCATTTTCTACCGGTACGTTCTCGAGACTGAATGAACAAAAACAGAAGTTAACTGTCTACTTGACTTCTTGTGTGTTAGCCTGATGCAATCCGATGGAGAACCTACTTTTAAATTAAGTTCGCTTTTACCATTTATCTATGATTCGTGTGTTTAACACACATGTGCTTGTTTCTTATTTTACAAGCAACAAGTACTAGCAACGAAGTCACACTTCATTTAATCCCTCTATCCTTCTATTAAGGTCATAAACCTGTGGCATGTGTATACTGCTCGAAGGATAGAACTTATTTATTTTAGTATTGATCCAGTAATAGTAATACTGCCACGTACTATCACTAAATAATAGTATTACAAAAACCGATATTGATGCGGTTAAAATGTTACTTTGATGCAAACATGAACGGAAGAACTTAGAATGGGCCTACGTTGTTCTTTTCTTCTATATAACGAAAAAATTTTATAGTGTAATACGTGCCTTTGATACGAGAGATATTAGCTTTTCTAGTCACACATGAATGATGTCGTTTTGAATATTCTGTTGGTTAGAGGGAAAAAGTAAAATGCTTCACAATCAAGATTAAACTATTCAACTCGTCAACAGTCCTCCATTATCCCTATGAACACGGATGTAGATGTTTTAATTGCTGGTGGTGGCATTGGTGGGCTTGTAACGGCACTTTGTTTACACAAAGCAGGTTTTAGCGTTCAGATTTATGAAGCATCACTAACTCTCAAATCGCTGGGAGTTGGCATTAGTATTCAGCCACACGGTATTAAATTTCTTTATGAACTTGGTTTAGCTGAAGATTTAGATAAATTGGGTATACGCGCAAGAGCTACACAATACTATTCAAGAAATGGACAATTCATTTATGAAGAGCTCCGGGGTCTGGAAGCTGGATATAATTGGCCTCAATATTTTGTTCATCGTGGTGACCTGCAACTGTTACTCTGGAAACATGTACTAGAAAAAGTCGGAAAATCAAGTGTTGTACTAGGACACAAACTTATTGGTTTTGAATCTTTTGCAGAACATATTGAAGTGAAGTTTCTAGATCGGAGCAGTAATGAAATAGTAAAAAAGAGTGCAAAATTACTGATTGGAGCTGATGGTATAAATTCAACCGTACGGACTATTTTATACCCAGATGAAGGTCCACCTGTTTGGAGTGGTGTTGCAATGTGGCGGGGAGTTCAACGCGTAGATAAACTGTTTTTAGATGGACGAACAATGTTACTGATGGGTAATCCAAATCGACGAAAAATGGTTGTTTATCCAATTAATGCAAATTCAATTTGTTGGCTTTGCAATGTTCGTCTAGATGGACCGGGCGCAAAATTACATAAAACTGCAGATTGGAATACTATTGGACGAGTTGAGGATATATTACCACTATTTGAAGAAATGAAAATTGATTTTTTAGACATATCTAATATGATTAGAACAACGGAGAAAGTATGGGAATTTCCAATGACAGACCGAGATCCACTTCCTAAGTGGACACACAATCGTGTTACTTTACTTGGAGACGCTGCACATCCTATGTATCCTATTGGAGCAAACGGTGCTGCACAAGCTATATTAGATGCACAAGCTTTAGTTCAATGTTTTCAAAGGTACGGTCCAACAGTAGAAGCGCTCGAAGAGTACGATAATATTCGCCGTACTGCAGCTACTGCTGTAGTTACTTCAAATCGTCAAGGAGGACCCCAGCAAGTTTTGAGAATTGTCGATGAACATTCACCAAATGGTTTTAAAGACATACGTGATATAATTTCAAAAGAAGAAACGGACGCAACATTTAACGAGTATAACCGTTTAGCGGGCTTTGATCCAAATTTACTGAACAACGAGCCCAATGTATTTCCTAACGATGAAACAGGAAAGAATACACTTGCGAATGACAAGCAAAAAGAATCATAATTTGCACTTCTGTACATGGAAAAACGACGGAGTTGACACTATATATACAGATGCCCGCATAAATAAAATGTTTCAAGGAACTAACATCATTCATGTATGACTAGCAAAGCTAATATCTCTTGTATGAAAGGCACATATTATACTATAAGATTTTTTCGTTATATAGAAGAAAAGAACAACATAGGCACATTCTAAGTTCTTCCGTTCATGTTTACATCAAAGTAACATTTTAACCACATCAATATCGGTTTTTGTAATACTATTATTTAGTGATAGTACGAGGTAGTGTTATTATTACTCTGTCTATTCTTAGATCAGTATACACATGCCACAGGGATGGCATTTCATGAATGGATTACTGAACACTAATATGGATGTTGTAAGTGTAACACAAACAGATTAGCAGATGGAAGAATATGGAAAGAGTTAAATATTCGTTTCAATGGTATGTAGTTCACTGAGGAGCCATTTATTGAAAAATCTATATCTCCTTTAAGAAGTTAGTTATTGAACTAATGCAGTATAAGAGTTTGTTTAGCCGGAGATGCTCCTCATATAACACCAAGAAGCGGTACGAAAAATTTAAATTTAGATACTGCTGATGTTCGTACCTTGGCTGATGTATTTCTTTGCTGGTATGAATCTTTAAGCGATATAAATAAATTAAAAAACTATTCCGAAGCATGTTTAAATCATACACGAAAACATTAAGAATTTATTTCACTTCGAAGGTGTTTTCTGTCTTAATGAAAAACTATATATTTTTCGAAAGAATATCATTCGATAGCCCGTGAAATTCTCTACAAACTGAGCTGGTCAGAATATCTAGACAGATGGGATCAATCAAAAGAAGCGTTTGGGTGTTATATATGTAGTACAGTGTTTTATAATCATAAGAACTCCCTTGTTTTTGATTTTTCAGTAAAAGCTGGAACCAATCTAAATACTATTTTGAATAGCCCGAATCTTTTTGTATCAGATGAGGTGCATATCGCCATTTTATGAGGAAAATTGATAATAGGGTTTCTGAAAAACCTGTAGGCTAGAAAACCAAGTCCTTTGTTTTGGATTAAACAACTTTGCAAAGCATAGAGCCTGATAGAGTAACGAATTCTCAAAGTAAGATATCTCCCGGCTGTCCATGATGCTCTTTCAGCCAACTGTAGTCCATTTACGAATGGCTACACCGAAATATTTTGGTGATTCTCACCCGCTTTGTACACCGAGTGTACTATCTACTGCAAGTAGTCCGACTTCATGATAGACATAAAGTACTACCTACCCTGAAAAAATCACGATTCCATCTGTTCTCGTTCACGAGAAAAGCGAAATGTACGTTTTTCACGCGTATAACTTCTCGAACTTTACTCTAGTCGAAAAATTCCATATCTACAGAACGAAAAGTTCCGGAAGCCTAAAAGTTTGGATTTATAGGCTTTCGAACATGCTCTATAAGATGAGACTCCTTGGGAAAAAATCTGAAATGGTCATTGAGTGCGCTTCTGTGAGAAACAGTCGTCTTTCTCGTGCAGTGACTCATATGAGTATGAAAAGAGAAATTTGGATCTTTCAAGTTCAGAGATGAAAACGGATTTCCGAACATTAAAATCGTTCCTAGCTTCAAAGGATCCCTCCGGATAAGACTGCAGATCTGCCACTCCCTTGAAACTAAACTATTATGTTATGGTTGGATAAAGGATTGTTAGGCACATCCGAACCTGTTGTCGGTTCTCTAAAATTGCTTGTCCTTGGCTGGAAAATCAAGTTTTTCTCATATAGTCTCCAATGTGGAGTGATTTTGATTAAACATGCTGCAACTCGGCAATGAAAGCAGATATCGGAAATCGATTTCCACCAATAAACTCCTCATCAAATTCTGCACAAAATCATCTTTTTGTGTCCATAAGAAATTTTACTCCTGTTCATTGAAAACACAAAACATAGCCTTAAAATCAGAAAATTCAAAACTTTCGGGGAACTTGAAATTTCAATAACTTGAATACTTTTTAAATAACACCTCCACCAAACTTTCTCCAGAACGTCTTAGCTACTATAGTAAAATTTTGGCCAAAAAATATTTTGTCCGACCAGAGATATTGTAGCAGAAAGTTCGATCCGACGTGAAAAACTCGGCATCGACGGATAGGCTCAAACCATATAAAACCTACCACTATTTATATCGACCTTTGACGTTCGTGACGATACCTACCTGATATTATAGAGCTCAGCAAGCTAAACTGAATGGTGAAAACCGCAAGCCTCTAGCATTGTTAGAAAAAACGTTATATCCATTTTACCTCCATAACAAGTTAAATGCATTTTCGTCATTTTTCCGATGGATTCGGCTTAGCTTGTAGAATATCTGCTGACCATACTCCCTAAGTTAGAACCTTGAAATTGGTATCAAATGAAAGAGTGCGCCGAGTTCTACATATTTTTCGAGGAAGAAAAGTTATGCAGCACCTCGGGATCTTGAGATGAAGATTTCTGAAAAAGCCGGTTTTCTAGAAAATCTAGTTTCTCATTTTGTGGAGAACTGAAGGGGCTGTGCAATGATATGGCTGAAAAAGTTCTGCAAGAAACTTTAAGATCACTAGGTTTTATAGAAAACCGGGTTTTTCAGAAATCTTCATCTCAAGATCCCGAGGTGCAGCATAACTTTTCTTCATCGAAAAATATATAGAACTCGGCGCGCTCTTTCATTTGATAGTAGTTAATATTATTCTGAGCTATTAAGTTGGAAGAATAAAGGGTAATCTCATAGTGAGGGGAGCCCTTGCTTATATGAATAGTTCGATGAAAACATAACAGTCATTCTTTTCTTACTTTCTTGTCTTTTATATCTATCTGTATCTTTGTAAAATCTTAGTCTTTCTTATTAGCCTTAATTTTTCTCTTTCTCCAGCAGTTTTTGATCAATCACAGATGAGGCAAAAATTCTGCATTAAATTTGCTTTTTGACACAGCGTTGCGATGAAATGTCGTAGAGACTTCATCCTTTTTTTGTCGTATAAATACAAACTTAACGTGTACTAATTTTCATTCTTTGTTTTTAAATAACAAAGAACTTCTCAAGATTAAGTTCAAGTTCAAGTTCAAATTTATTTTGCATAAACAAGGACATCACAAAAGAAAGTAAACGTTAAGTAATTTATAACATCTGATAAACAGAAGCCTTAGTGATACGTGTATAACTAAAAACAAACAAAATAAGAGAGCATTCCCCAATGAACAAAGAGAAGATAAAATAAATACAAATAGAGTTGTTTAAGTCAAACCCAATTCCCGTCAAAGCATCTCCTTAAAAACTTTGTGACTATTCTGAGTATAAAGATAAAGGTAGTTTTAAAGTGTTTCTGGTTAGAGCAGCCAGAAAAACGCTTTATCCTTTTTTCAGATCAAGTCTTTTAGGCTATATTCAACTTTATTTTTTTAATTTCATAGTCTCAAACGGTACAATGGCTATGCTATTCACCTATATTTACTTCGTAAAAAAATTTAATTGCAAAGTAAATAAATTTTTTGACTTGAAAGCAAATTCCTTCAGACCCATGGAAATTATGACCCAATTGTTTGAAAATATGGCTTGAGAACAAGGTTATTCAAGAGTTTTTACGAACAAATTACTTTTAAAAACTGAGTGCAAGATTGTTCTAGTTTTCTTACTCTATGGCAGAACTTGCCCAGCTCTTCTCCGCATCTGTCGAGCAGAAATCGACAATATATATTGTACGGAAGGGAGTCTACACTTGATTTGAATAAATACGATCCTCACAACATTTCTCAGGTATCCTGGGTGCGAGCGCCCATCGAAGGTAGGCGTGGGAATTGTTTTGAATTTAAAAATACTATTAGACCTCTGAGAATCGGGGAAGAGTTTTGGGAAAGCTTTTAGATTCACAGTAGATTACGAGGCTTATAGCTCACCTTGTTTTATAAAGTCGTTTTCATGCTCTTTTACCTATAAAAACACGGTTTTCAAAAATTTTGACTTGAATTTCCGACAGGAAAGGCAAAATCAGCTGGCTCATTTTCACTGTGAACCGTAAGAACGCTCTAGCACAGGAACGAAAAGGAACTGAGAAACACGCATACAGTCTTTTTTAGAAGGCTATCTACTGAAGATATCCATCGCAAAATATCGACTCTATCTCTCTTCAAAACAGACTTAGCTACTTTCAAAGGCAATATCGAACTTTTTTTCTCGTCAAAGTCTCACTCGATTTTTTGCGTCAAAAATTTATTTGAAAAGTTCGAAAAAGTATTGTCTAAATCAGTTTTTCAGGTGGATTCAGGAAAAAAGCTTTGAGGTTTCTAGCTCTTACTGTTAAAAAGCTGTAGCCTACTTCCTATAACAAGCGCCTTTTTTTTAACACTGGCTCTCTTCAGTTTTTCGTCCGTTTTGACGTCAAAAAATTAATTCTCCTCAAAAAAAGAACTTGGTGAGATTCAGTTCGACGAGTTGCATCTACCTATGTAAAAAAATCGAAAAAGTATAAAGCGCTCTGATTTTGAATTTACTTAACCTTACATGATATATGACATAATGTCAAACTTTACTTTTACATTTTTCTGCAGAAGTGCAATTTGTTCGGTTCTGTTCCTTGACTGTACAAGGATTGTCTTTGTGTAATAAACTTGCAGCATATTTGTTCGTACGTTGATGAATTATCTAGTGTTAGAAAAACTATCTACTAGTTAAAAATATTCTAGTGAAAATCGCGATCCTGCACACTTGGAAATTGTGCACTTCACCGAATCACATGCGTTCCTCGTAAATCGGGATAGATATCTGTGGTTTCTTTTCATCTAAAATATAAGATTCAAGCGTTAGTTCTTGTAAAGAGAGTTTCGATTGCATCGATCCAGACTCCAGAGGAGAGAGAGAGAATACTCGTTCCAGCAAAAAACCGTAACCAACTATTAATTGTGTTTTTTCTGACAAACGGTGTAATCGTTTAAGGGTTGCCCCTCTCTTTTTTCACCTTGTTGCCAAATGC